CGTGTGTGCGCCTTTTACGCTCTCCTCCTGGTGGCGGTTAAGGTGATGTGTAAACAGGTTCTGGTATTCCCTCAGACGTGTTGGTAAAACAAACTTGAAAAGGAACGATCCCCTGCAAGAATTTGCCTCCGTGCACGGTGTGATCGGTCCGGCCTGGGGGGACACAGGGCGGTGGGTCGGGGTGGGAGCCTGCGGTGTGATTTGTGGGGCTGCAGCTGTGTCCCTGACAGAAGCAGGGGTTTGCTTGCACGTACTGCAGGTTGGAATTCCTGTGTTGTTGTTGGTGGTGGTTTCTTTGTTTGCAATTTGTTTTCTTCAATGAAGTTGGAGGTAACTTTGTTTTGGAGGTTCTCTAATGTGAGCTGGTGAAAACGCGGTGTTAGGCATGGAGCAGCCATAAGGCTGTTTTAGCAGAGAACTTGTTTCCAACTTTGCACAGTGTTATCCCTAGAAGATAATCAGAACTGTCTGTGTCTCACTCATGTTCACGTGTGTGCATATGCGTGAAACTCGCACAGGTGAAGGTGGTGTGCCTGCTCCCCTGCACACTGTACCCTGTGGTGCTGGGGGCTCTGTCAGAGCCCCTTGGCCTGGGGAAGGGAGGTTGAGATGCTCAAACTGCTGTCGCAGCACTCTGCAGGAATCCTCGCCTTTCTGGAAACTTGGATTTGTTTCAGGCTGTTAAAACTTGTAAAGACCTGCAGCAGAGTAATTGTTTAGGTTTGCATTGCAAAGGCATCTCTACTTGGACCTGTATGGGTTGTTAGGTGTGCACTGGGGTACTTGGAGTTCTCTTAAAATAGTGTTTTAGTGGAACATAACTTGCAAGGTCCAGTTTCATAATCTTTAAGGCTGTGTTCAGTGCCCCACTCCAACTGATGGTGAGAATTCAGCTGGCATAAAGAACTTCAAGGTGTTAACTGCTTCTAATCTTAGGAAGGGATTTGAATATTTGGTACTAGGATCTGACCCACCTGAACTTGTAAGTGTGTTTCTGTTTCACTTTCAGGAAGCTGTTGATAAGAGTTTGCTAGCAGGTAAATCTGCTCTGTGCTTTTCTTCCAGAAAGGTAACGCCACTCTCAAAATCATCATTAATACTATTACCCATCTGTGGGTGGATTCCACCAGCAGTGAAAGCAAAAACCCTTGGTTAAGAGCTATCAAGAAAACACCAACCATTGAAATTTATTAAAGGTGATTTGAGTCCTCTTTAAAAGAATCTAATTGTAGAGAATTAGTATTCACTGGGAAGAATAGGATGATTAAGGTGTTGTCCCTTGGCTGCATGATGGCACCTGGAAGCCTTGGTCTTCACGTCAGCCCTAAAGCTGTGCGTTCGTCTCAGGCAGTGGTAGCTTTCATGGACTATTTTTGCTGTATTTGCTGTCCTTCTAAATGTATTTCTGGCTAGACAGAAGTTGGAAACTTTATTGCATTTTGAGCCTCCGTTGTGTGGTTTTTGTATTTCTGCACTGGTGCAAGGGCCAGGCTGTGCTGTGACCATTGCGGGGTTTGTAACCTCGCTGTACTTTTGAACCAGTTGTGTGCCATAGCGAGGAGGCACAAAGTATTTTCTAGCAGAGCTGTTGAAGACTCCAGAAGTGAGCATAATTTAGAGTACACTCTTAGTTAAAATAGATGTTGTTTGCACCTGCCTTTTTGACTCATCTGGAAACTTAAGGGAAACGTTGACTTGCTTGCTTTGTTATGGGGTGCATAGGAAGTGCACCTAAGCTCCCAGTCTTTGTTCTCAGGTAGGTTCTGCTACTTAACTTCTTTGGGGTTATCTCTTCCTTTAAAGCTATAATGTGGTTGAATACAGATTTCAAAGGTACTTAATAAGAAAACAAACAAAAACCTTGTTCATATATAAATAGAAAAATTCTCAACTTCTTGGCAGAATCCTTGCCATATTTGTTATATATTTCTGAATATTAGCTTAGGTACAAACAGGCAGAAAGCTTCTATAGAATCACAACACCATTACGTCAAAGGAGTGCTTTGGGCACAAATTTAAAGGATTACCCTCTAAATGATGGTTTTGAAATTATTTTTATTATGGTTATAAATAGTAAAAATTATACACAAATGGCAGTACTTCTTGACAAAAGGCAGGAAAGTCAAGTGGGATTGATTTTGCTTCATCTGGGTTTTTGAGGTGCAAGTAAGTAAATTTAAAAATAAACAAAAAAGTAAACATTCTTCTATGTAGCAGAGACCTGTTTTTCTTTTTTTCTTGAAGTTCATCCCAATGTATCAGAGCAATTCCAACAACCTGTTTCGCTTGTTCTTTCCCAAATACGATTCAGTGTCTTTCTTTTCATTTTCTTAGTTTGTTTTCTGTTGTGCTTCAGCACCTACATTCTGTGTTTGTGTGTTGCACTGGTCTCCTGCCCTGGGTTCCTGTAAAAACACACTAACAACTGAAACTTTGTGGGTAGTCTCATTGACTTAAAAGCACCCGCTGGTGTGCTGACAGTTAACCTCTTACATCAGAGCTTTCAGGGCAGAGGCTGGGATGTTGACAACTCAGTCTACTTTTATGGAACATTGTAACAGTGTAGAAGGGGTTGTGTCCAATGAAGTTATTGTGCAGTGGGTTGTTTGGAGTTTTCCTTATTGAAATTTGTTCTCAGAGGTGTTTGTGTTCCAAACGTATGTTTCCATGCTAATTGGTAAGAGATTTCTGTATAGGAATTACAGCTGCTACGCTTTTATTTCAGCAATAACAGAAGACTGTGAACTTTTCGGATTGCTTTTAATTTATGTTGTATCTCTCATTTATACTGTTATGCTGAAAGTTGCATGTGGTATGGTGGTAATTGGTGTTAGCTCAGAGCTGAGCTACTTTGAGTCCCAAATTGGGATGGAGATGACCCCCTGCCCCAGGAGGGTTCTGGGCCCCCTGTGCTGCCCTCCCTCAATTTGCCTTAAGGTAACCTTGGTGATCAGCAGTGCTACAGGAACGTGGGTGTTACTGTTCCCTTTTGGCTTGCTCTGGTATCTGACCACTCTTTACAAAGTGTAATATGTTTAAAACTTGACATAATCAAGAATTTTTTCAGACACATCCTTCTTGTGGTGAGCTGTGTTGCGAGAGTTGTACTTATTGATGAATTTCTGATCAATGCCATAGTTTCCTTCTGCTTTCCATCATGGTAATATTTTCAGCATCATCCTGTACCCCATCTCACAATTCTTTTTGGTTGCAGTCAGTAACTTTCAAAGCGTATTCAAGGCTCTACCTTCAAATTCTTTGTGCGTCTCAAATCAGCAATGGGTGGACGTAGGAGTCTGACCTGTAAAAAGCTATAGTTTATTTAAAATGAAAACTGCTATAAACACTGCTGTGTTTGTGGGAGATGAAACGGAAACCGGTGCTTGGTGTGACTCCCACTGAGCAGACAGAGCGGTGAGGGCTGAACAGTGGAGGTAGGGAGTGCTGGCCGTGTGTCGGAGTTACCCCCAAGGTGATGTGTGAGGGGTAAGTAATGGAACCCATTTCTAGCTGAGTTCTGGTTTGGAGCACTGGGATAATGCTTTCCTGCATTTCACTTGGTTGGTTCAAGGGTTCTGTGGAGCTAGATGCCAGCAGTAGTGTTAATGTATGTACTTAAAGTAATGTTTGTGAACGCTAAATGGTCCTATACTAAATTCCATAGGTGGCTGTTGTGTTGTTTATCCTTACACATTTCAGAATTTTATGTTAGTGACATTTTTTCTTACTATCTAAAGACTCTTGAAAACAAGAGGTTTCTAGGCACCAAAAAGAGATCGTGTGACTAATTATATTAAAGCAACTGCAACAGTTACAAACTATGAACTCTTGCTGGTAAGTTTTGTAGGCAACTGCTTGGCAAACAAGTTTTTCTAAGGCTGTCGTGGTAACACTGACAATGATAACATAGCATTATCATACATTATCTTTTCTTTCTAAGGATTGTCTGAAGATTCCTGTCCTAGAGCAAAGTAACTCATGCTTTTATCGATGGACTGTGCATTTGTCATACAGCTATATGACTGTATGAGGTTTTTCCTTCAAGTTTCAGTGAAACGGTATCTTTCCATCTTCAGCTTATTAGAACTTCGCTTTGTTTGAGGCACTGATTATTCTTTGTATCTATTTTTAATACATTTTCCACATTCTAATTTTGAGAACCATTCTTGCAAAGGAAGTGTTGCCAGGGAATTAAAAAGATGGGGGGGAAAAAAGGGAATGCCAACTTGTCTTCCATTGCCTTGGTGTGTAGGGGACTCGCTGATGTGCTCGATGTCTTCCACTATTGGG